CCTGGCCACCCGTCTACCCTGGCCTCCCTTCTGCTCCGGCCTCCTCCCTGCCCCAGCCTCCCCTTTGTCCCTCCCAGGAGCTGCTGCTAAGGACATGGATCTCTTCCTGACAACGACGGTATGGAACCGTCATTGTCACGAAGATATCCATGAGTCACAGTCATGCAAGTCCGGGTGCTGCTCCTGGATGACCCCACAAAAGCCTGTCTTTGGGAGTATTGGGTCTAATAGGATGCTTGGTTCCGGTCACCCATGGGTCCAATCGCAGACCGGCTGGAAGGTACCACCCAAGGGTCCAGTCGCAGACCGGCTGGAAGGTACCACCCACGGGTCCAGTCGCAGACCGGCTGGAAGGTACCACCCACGGGTCCAGTCGCAGACCGGCTGGAAGGTACCACCCACGGGTCCAGTCGCAGACCGGCTGGAAGGTACCACCCACGGGTCCAGTCGCAGACCGGCTGGAAGGTACCACCCACGGGTCCAGTCGCAGACCGGCTGGAAGGTACCACCCACGGGTCCAGTCGCAGACCGGCTGGAAGGTACCACCCACGGGTCCAGTCGCAGACCGGCTGGAAGGTACCACCCACGGGTCCAGTCGCAGACCGGCTGGAAGGTACCACCCACGGGTCCAGTCGCAGACCGGCTGGTACGTACCACCCACGGGTCCAGTCGCAGACCGGCTGGTACGTACCACCCACGGGTCCAGTCGCAGACTGGCTGGAAGGTACCATCCATGGGTCCAACCGCAGACTGGCTGGAAGGTGAAAGCTACTTTCTCTGACTTGTTAACAGCTGGCTTCGTATCAGGTGCCCCCAGGGAGGGTGACAGCTGCCCACTATCTCAGGACGAGGTTGTGCATGAGGAAGATGGGTTGGGATGGGGCTCTTCTGGGCTTGGGGGAGGGGCCCAGGGGGGAGAACACCCTGCTTCCGCTTTCTCCAGAGTTGAATTCCTGAGGAGACAGTGGCACAGGCAGCTCTTTCATGAATCTCATGGAGGGAAACTGAGTGAAGACTGAGCCAAGGGAGAGGCGATGCCTAGTGTGGGGACAGACCTCATCCTCAGTGCCTCGTGAGGTATGGCTTTCATCTTCAGCTAGGTCCACACTACACGAAGCTCTTCTTCCTTCTGTGTCCACTCACCACCCGCACAGGCACCGTGCACAGAGGAAGCTCTTCCAGGATATGGCCATGGGTAGCTGGGGTTGCCCACCCTGAGTGGATGTCATGAGTCTCCCCATGGTCAGGCATGTCCAGGCGTTGGATTGCTCATTAATAACGCTAAAATTTCATCTCCACACATGACACTGTGATTATGTCTCTGTCTTTGGGATGGGTCCGGGTCAGATGCAAGTGAGCCAGTTTGGTCATCAGAGGCCGTGCCCATCCCTCAGTTTTTACGGGTGGAATCACTGGCTGGCTGTGCCCTGAGCTGTCTTTTTAGCTCTATTGGTAAATGTTAAACCCACTCTCTGTGCTTAGATTTCTAGGTGTTTACTATCCAGTTGGGGCTCATTTTCCAAGGCCTATTGGATTGCTGCTTTTAACTCATCTGAGCATGGCAGAGTGATAGTTCTGAGCCCTGTTTATGGGGCTGGCTGATTTGGGCAGTTGGGTTTACTCGGGTTCCTGAGGTCTTTTTAGCTCTACTGGTAAATGTTAAACCCACTCTCTGTGCTTAGTTTTCTAGGTGTTTACTATCCAGTTGGGGCTCATTTTCCAAGGCCTATTGGATTGCTGCTTTTAACTCATCTGAGCATGGCAGAGTGATAGTTCTGAGCCCTGTTTATGGGGCTGGCTGATTTGGGCAGTTGGGTTTACTCGGGTTCCTGAATCACCAGTCCTCCATGCCCTTTAACTTCTTACTATGGGAAGTTCCATGTACACACCTCAGTATCATGATAGCCCGTATGTGCCGTGAGCCTCTGGTCAGCATCTACTGGCCAGGCAGCTTCATGCCTTCCCACTAGACCTGCTCTCCGATGTCACCTGGGCGGTTCTGGGGAAAGCCCATTCCCTGGCATCTTGCATCTCCCTCACTTTGTCCAGTACCCCACTTCCAACTCCAGAACTTCCACATGGTTCTGATGCTATGGAATCTTCCTGTCTGCCAGTCCCGAGGAGAGGACTCAGGCCTAGCTGTGGCTGCTTCCCAGCAGGTACGGCTTGGTTTTGAGGGCACCGTGTGAACTCTGGCAAGCATTTTGCTCCAAAATCTCAGGGCTCATCCAGTGCGGCACGTTTCTGCAGACCGCATGGTAGGGTGGGCCGCCACCGGGTCTGGTCACGTGGTTGGGTGCGTGACCGGGGGCCTTTGTGGCTCCTCCCTGTCTGTCCAGTGTCTGCAAAGCTCCCAAGTACATGTCTCCTAACGCCTCCTAGTCTAGGTCACCGACCTCAGGTCAGCAGGGAGCTGCCATCTGTCTTCTTTGTTCGAGGGTTTCTGGCCTCTTCACTGTCCCTGCCTGGCCCTTCAAGGGGGGCTGCTACTCTGGGGGGTAGGCATAATGCAGAAAAGGGGCAGGAGAGAAAGGAAGGAGCAAGGGGTGGGGCAGAGATTAGCAGGCTGTCCTTTAAGCTTTGCTGGACCCTTCAGACTGGTGCCCTGGGGAATGGAGGCTGACTACAGGCAGCCAGCAGAGGCAGGTTAGGGACAGGCATGCTTCCTCAGTGGACTCTACAGCATTCTGCTGTGCTGAGCTTTGCCACCGGCAGGGTTGGGCCAACAGCACTTGGAATTGTCGGAACCGACCCTGCAGCACCCGGGCTTCTCTGCCGTTCTCCGCAGTGTGCCTCTGGTGGACTTTCATGACTAGCAGGCGCTGGTGGGGTGGGAATTTAGAGTAGACTTTATGGCCACTCTTTTCCAACACGCTCCTTATCTTTGGGGGAGAGGCACAGGCCTCTCAGATGACTGGCATGCTTTTGACTTTTCAAACTACATGAAAGAAATCTGAAGCTCAGAAGACATGTGACACTTAAAAGGGACATGGATCCGACTACTGACAGTGGGAGGGGCCTGTCTGTAGAGAGCTCGGGTTCTATCTCTAGGGTCCATGCTGTTGGCGTGTGTGTTTGGAACAGTTGGTACTTTGGGGGCCTCAGGAAAGACCTGAGGAGACAGGAGGGCACTTGGTCAGAGGGTGTGGTGGTTTTGAATGAGAATGTCCTCCATAGGCTCCAAGAATTTGGACATTTCGTCCCTGGTTGGTGGCGCTGTTTTGGGAGGTCTTAGAAGGTGTGGCTGTCCTGCAGGAAGCATGTCACTGGGGGCGGGCTTACAGAGTTCTTAAGCCTTGCCGATCTCTCCTGCTTCCTGCACCTGCTTGAAGATCTGAGCTTTTAGCTTCTGTTCCTGCTCCAGCCACCTCTGCCGCCAGCCTCCCAGCCCAGATGGACTCTTGCCTCTTTGGAACCAAAAGCTAAATAAACTCTTCCTTCTAGAAATTGTGTTGGTCAGTGTTTCTATCACAGCAACAGAAAAGTAACCGAGACAGAGGGATCACATTACGGACACGTCTTGAAGGCAAAGTCACAAAACACTTCTGATATGGAGTGATGTGTGCAGTTTCTTCCTAGGGGATGCATGCCTCTTCTGACTGCCTGCTATGGGGCACCATGTAAAGCCATGATCAGGAAATAAGGGCTCCCAACCTCCTGTGTTGGAGGAGAGCCCTCCCCAACCCCCCGAGTGACTTGCTCCGTCAGAGGAGCTGGCTGACAACTGGACTAGATAGAGCCTTGAGACCTGAGGCCAGGGGCACACAGATCCTGTTAAGCAGACATGTAGGATAAGCTTCTGCTATTCGAAGGTAATTTGTTACACAGCATGGATAGCTAGCACACTATTTAGTATGTGAACTGAAACCACAGCAGACATTCTCATGTACCTGATGGGCTGAACTTAGTTGGGCAGCAGTGGTCCCCTGGAAACCACACTCAAGTGAACCCCTGCTGGAAGGAGCAGTTGGTTCAGCCACTGTGTTGAGGGCCCTCTCTGCAGCGGTGGCACTGTGTGGAGGCACCTCCAGGAGAAACATGGGGTTTTCGGCCTCATGCTCTTAGTGAATAGAATGTAATCAGCAGCTTGCACACCTGAGGAAGGGGCCAGTGAGCTACTGCCCGTGTGAAAGTCCTCACAGTGCTGGGAAGCCATGAGCCTTGATACAGCCTCAGCACACCATGGGATAAAGACCCACAGCATATGGCCCAACAGACTGCAAATATACAATACACATCAAGGTTTGCCTCTGTAGGGAGAACTCAGTGTGAAGACATGGACAAGACACCCACAGGGCAAGCCCAGGGCAGTTCCCCCTGGGGTTAGAATTCTGGCCAGTGTGCACTCATCGTTTTCTCTTATTACATTTTGGTGCGTGCATGTGTGTGGTCAGAGGACAACCTGTGGAAGTCGGTTCTTTCCCCGTACCATGTGTGTCCTAGGGATTGCACTCAGATCTTCAGACTTGGTGGCAAGCTCTTACCCGAGCAGCCATCTTAATGGCCCCTCCATTCCATTTTATTGGTGAGAACATTAATGTCAGAAAGGCAGTAAGCGTCGAGTCGACGTGGTGGTGTATGCAGTCGGTGTGGTGGTGTGCACAGCTACCATTTTCTTTCCTATATGAAGTACTTTATCATCTTTAAAGTCGAAAAGGTGGGGTGTGAGGGCTTGAGCCTCAGAGCAGCCTGTGTAGCTGTGGGAAGTGGCTGGGTCTGGGGCCCGGTCCCTTTCCGTGCGTTCACTTCCAAAGACTGCTCTAGCCTAGCTGCTCTAGCCTACCACTGCCTGCAAGCAATTTCAGGGGAGAAACCGGTGCAGGGCTTTAAATGATTGGGAATTTAAAATGACACTCACAGGACACTATGGGCAGGCAGATGGTAAGGGGGCAGCCACTGGCTCCAGCCAAGGGAGGGGCCACCTCCTGTGGCCCAGCAGTCAGTCCCAGGGTCCCAGGTGCGCACACTGAGGGAGAGAGCACAGAGAGCAGAGATGGGAAGGCAATTAACACAGTCTTTATTTACATCACAAGAGTGACAGGTGTGTGATGTGGCACAGAACACTGGACCCCGGGAGGTGGAGAGAAGTGACCGCCAGAGGACACCGCCGGTCAGTGAAACCCACCACACAAAATGAAACAAGAACGTGAAAATCAAACACGACCTCCAACCCCGCTGAGGAGAAAGCGCTGCAGGGAGGTCCAGACAATCAAAGAGAACACAGGCTGCCACAGAGCCCGAGGTGGCCGAGGCCGCGGAAGCCCTGTGCCATCATGTCATGGTGCTCAAGGCTGGGACCTCACATCTGGAGTGAGCTCTCAGAGGTCAGCCTCCTATGCATCCATGGAGATAGAGCATATGTGTTTAACATTTTCATAAATTGGAAAACCGTGCCTCTGCGGTGGAGCACCCCACCCAAAACCAGTGAGACCTCTTTGCGTTCTTTTCTTTCCATAGGAGACTTAATCGATGGAGCAGCGAGGCCACGCGGAGAGTGTGACGAGTCGAGCTTCCTCTGGCCGGGGGTTGCTTAGGCCCAGGGCTTGCAAAGGCTCAGGCTGCTCAAAGTGGAGCCCCAGCCCTGCATCTTCCAGAAGCAATGGTGAGAGGTCAACGGGGCTGTGAGGAGACTGGGCCTCACCAGAGCCCTGATTCTTGATCAGAGAGGCCAGTGACGGTGGGCAGGTGTGCCCGGCACTGTGCAGGGAGGGAAAAAGAAACAAATAAAACAAAATCCTCCAGCCAGTTCAGGGAGATGGGCAGCATGGTCTGAGTGCCGTGGAGCTTCCCCGAAACACCGCTTCTGTGTGGAGACACCGGTAGGTCACAGGTCTAGGTAAACTTTTCTCGATGACAAATGTGTAGCAGTCCTTTTACTTTTCTTACAATAAAAAGTACAATTTCTTGAGAATAAGTTCAGTAAGACTCAACGCCCCCCTCCTCCTTGAACGTTTTGTTGTACAGAACAATTCCGTATCTGCAAACATGAGAGGGGAAGAAAGGCATTTTTCTTCTTCCCCAAAGCTGCCAAGTTTGGCGTGCAAAATCTGTATACGATATAAAGACATGCCGGCCTACAGCCCATGCAACCTCCAGGTGTAGGAAACTTAAAAAAATATATCATATATTTGTATCTATATATTTATATATGTATCAATGCCCGTATGAAACACGTGGGCCCAAGGTCTACAGAAAGGAATGAGCACGTGCTGTGACCAGTGAAGGAGGAATGTTCTGACAGAAACACACCCCAGTCCACTGCCAATGCTACAAAGATCCGATTGGCTTCTGTGTCAGACCATCCCAAAACGGAAAAGTAAAGAAAAATGAAATACTTTGACAAAGCTACCCTCAGGAGCCAGAGCCCCAGGAAGTCTGCCGGGAGGGGTGGCTGTTCCCAGTGGGCTTGGCCTTGGGGACAGTGGCCTGCTGGTGGGGCATGGGCACTCAAGGCGCAGCTGGAAGCCCCGAGGGCAAGTGGACACCAGCGTCCCGGGCACACGATGTCTGCAGGCTTCCCCTAAAGAGATGTAAAGTGCTTGCTCTCAGCTCCCCAGCCAGAGTCCACCAAGGCCTCTGCAAAGTAAGGGAGGGGGAGGAAGGCATAAGGACTGGGCGAGCAGTGCCCTGGAGGCCACGGCTGACCTCTGCCCTCCACCTTGGGTGCTGACTGTGGAGAAGGGCCACGTGTGCCTTCAAAGAAGGAAAGGCTATCTGGTAGATAATGCTTTCAGCACACGGGGAAGCTGGAGTGAGCTGGCTCCCTGGCCAGGCCCCTGCATCATAGAGTGTCTGAATGACCAAAGTGAGTCCCTCCCACAATGCCCTGGTCACTCATCATCTGAAAAAACAGGATGATGCACACCTCCTCGCGAGCTGTGGATGGCAGAAGACAGCAGTTGGCAGGGTTCTCACAGGTGTGTGGAAAAAGGGCCCCAGTGGCCAGAAGAGCAGCGGGCTGGGCTCTGCTACCATGCAGCGCCAGAAGCAAAGAGGGGCTGGGGGCTGTGGCAGGGCAGCTCCTTCTGCAGAGGGCCAGAGTGGCTGCAGGGAGGATCAGACATGTCGCAATACTGCTCTGCCTGTCTGTAACCTGTCTCAGGACTGACCACAGCAGCCCAGTGACCAAGAATCCAAGAATGTGTGCTCAGCCTGTCAGTCAAAAGCCTGAGTTCCCATCTACCCTGTAAACTTCACCAAACTCGGAAACTTTTGGGGGGGGGTGTCCCTCCTGAGCACCCAAACTTCCTCCTACAAATCTGAGCTCCACACACTTTGGAATGAAACTGATGCCTTTAAGTGCTAGAAAATAAGTTACCAGTAAAAAAGAGCCAGTCACTGCCAGAGAGAAAAGAGCAAGACAAGGACTGGCTGGCCTCGGCCCTGCACATGCCCGCAGGTTCTGCTGAACAAGGGCCTCAGTTCAGCAGCCACAAGCTCCAAACCCAGAGCTATGACTATGGCCGTGGGAAAAGCCGCTGTGAATCGCTAGGAGCCCAGAGTGGGCCAGGCACTACAGACATGCTTCAAAGGGCTTTGGAAGGCTATCCCGATGGCATGGTCATAAGTCTACACTCGTTAATGCCGACTGTCTGCATCCCACGTGGCCTACCTGCCTTTGTCACAGGGGGAGACACACTGCCCCATAATACTACTAGTGTTGCAGGCCAGAAGGCCCTGGCTTCACTGTGCAGTTCCTGGGTGGAGCTAGCAAAGGTGCCCCCCCACCACCACCCAAAGACCTGCTGTGGCCCTCCCCAGAGGCTTGCTCTGAGAACCAAGTGTGAGAGCACTCACTGGTCCTATGCGGCAGGTGCTGCTCCCTGTACAGAAAGAAACAAAACCAAGTCATAAAAACAACCTTCAGAGTTAAAAAAATGTACAAGAATTCAGAAATTAAAAGTTCCAGACATTACCCCATTCAGACAGTTGCTGAATGGTAAGGAAAAAAAGTAAAATCCACAAAACGGTATTTCTTCTGGATTTTTTTTTTTGTGAAAAATTCATACAAAAAAATCAACAGCAAGTTTATATCCTTTGCTATAAAAACTCATTAGGTACATATGTGCATGGAGGCTTTGAGAGGGCAGGGCCTCTGTTAGAAAATAATTAAAATTAAAGTACAAACTGCTAGGGAAGTTGCCCAGGGGCAAACACACTGGCGATCTGGAAGCTGGCCAATCGGAGCTCAAAAATCCACGGGCTTCAATCCAGATCCCAACCCAGCACCTCAGAGCTAACCCACAGGTCTCCCACCGGCCTGGACCTTTGCGGTCTGCATTTATTATATATTTTTATATATACTTTGTCTATAAATGCATTATAAATATTTTATCAAGATCTCATAAGAATCAAGTTTCTTAGCTTGGAGTACAGTGGAATATATATTATACATATATATATTTATTTATACCTAAAATTTAAGCAATACTTCATGCTACTTGCTTTTAATAAAAAGCATTCCAATCGTAACACTGGAGTGTGCCTACGACATGCTTCACAACCAAATGGAGATGCTCGATCGCTGTGTGACGGATGAGTAGAAGACACTTTGGATCCATTTAAAACTTGTTGGATTTCAAAACCCCAACACTGTTTGCCGTGTTTCTGGAACTACCTCCATCCTCTTTAAATAGCAGCGAAGCGGAGCAAGGCTGCCGGACCACGGCTGTGGGGCCAGCGGCTGCTGCCGGTCTTCAGAGCGCCAGGCCAGCACCACCAGGCTCAGCCTGCCACAGGACAATTCCTGGTGTTTATTTTTTCTTAAGGCATTGTTCCTCAGACTTCAGAAAACCCAGCCACAAATCCATCATAGCAATAAAAAAAGGCACAAACTCGCATCTTCCAATGGCTTGGAGAAGCTCGGGCCAACTCCCAGGCTCACATTTCTGTTCTGTCCATTTTTTTTCCTTTAAAGTTTCTTCCAACTCTGTCCCCCACGAGCTGTGAACCCCATGGTACCCCTGTTAAGGTTCACAAGGCAGGCCAGAGCCAGAGAAAACGCTGTTAAAAAAAAAAAAGCTACAAGATGAGTGGTTTACACGGAGACTGTGGAACTGTGGTAAGAATCAAACGTTAAGCACCAGTTTTAATCAAGTTTGTTCTGTATTATTAGATCTTTGATTTTCATTTTCCTTGTGAAAACTCAATTCGGCAACTCAAGTTGCCACAGGCTTCTTCCTTCGCGGCTTCCCTGGGGGACCGCCAGCATGTGCTTGGCTTCCGCGTCTGTGCGCCTGTGTGGCGCGCTGTCCTGTGTTCCGTGTGATCGCCGCACCTGGTGTGCATGTGCGTCTCCAGACCTGAGGTCCGGGGCAGCGGAAAGGCCTCCACGGCGGCTGCACACCGGTGTCCCTGTGTGCTCAGAGAGCATCACGGCAGGACTCAGGCGTGACACGGGAAAGTTTCTTGGCTGAGTTTCCAGACAGACAAACAAAAGCGAGAACAGCAGCTTCCAGGGGCTACAGTGGTGGCTCCTCCTCCATGGGCTCCTCCTCAGGCCTGCGAGGAGAAAAAGGGACAGGGCCGGGGCACGGTGAGGGACAGTACCACCCGAAGGTGGCCCTTCCCACAGAGCTGCAGACCCCTGGCCCACGGAGGCACAGGCTCCTCTGCGGTGGAGGAGCTAGTCTGTAGAGTGGGCGGGCATGTCCACCACCTGCCTGTCACTGCAGGGCTGGCTTGGCACAAGCCTGGATGTGCCCAACAGGCCTGGGGAGGATGTGGGCCGGGAGGACGTGGCTGGGCTCACCTCTTCTCAGCAGGCTTCACGCCCACGGACAGCGAGGCCATGGCTGTGACTGTCTCAGCTTCTTCAGTCTCGCACTTCTGCGCCTCAACCAGAGAGTGCCCAGCGGTGGAGGACAGGCGCTGCAGGCACCGCCAGTACTTGCCTGGGGGAGGGGAGCACTCAGTGATGCTGCCCTCCAGCTGCCTCTGCAGCCCCACCTGACTTTCACCTGTGCTGTAAAAGCGACTCTAGAGAGCTGCCTGGTGCCAAACACACAAACACTGGACATCTTTGGAGATGTTTCTACATCTGAGGCCACCTGGACATGGGGGTGCCGGCTGTGCTGGGGTCTGGATCTCAGCACTCTTGGGATTCTGCCTAGCTGTGGACAGTCTGGTGCGTAGGCACCTGCAGCTGTACGGGGGTGGGGGGTGGGGATCCTCCCATCTAGAGCCTTGTAGATGCTGGGGATGCACCCCATCGAGACCAAGCACAGGGTGCCCTACCCTGAGCCAGCTTCATGGGCTCAGGGGAGTGAGTGGAACAGCTCTGAGGCTAGGAACCAAACAGCCCCACAGGGACCCAGAGGCAGATCTCTGCTCTGCACCATCTACATCAACTATCACATCCAGCTGTGGCATAGCAAAGAACCAGGCAGGGTGTGGCAGGTGCACCTGAGGCAGGAATACTGGCATGGGGTGCCTGGCTGGGAGCTGTCACTTAGCCTTGAGCACCTGAACTGGGTACCCTGAAAGACAAGGGATGAAAGCTACAGGACAGCAAGACCCAGTTCTGGGGTGTCCCCATGAACTCATCACATGCTAGAGAAGGTGAGGCCTTGTGCACAGGCTGCAGAGGAAGCTGGCAGGGCTGGAAAGGGGCTGGGCAGAGTCCTTCCCCAGGGAGTACCCATCCTGGGCACCTGTGGGCATTTGGCTGGCCACTTACTGTGGATGTCCATCACTTTTTCCATGGACCGGACCGCATTGGCGTTGGGTCTCTGCTGTAGAACCTTGTCTGGCAGAGGCTCCAGCTGGGAGAGAGACATAATGCACAAGAGGGTGATGGGTAATGTAGAATCTACCATGTGCCAAATGGCAAATGGTGTCCAGAGAAGAAGCCTGGCTGAAGACGGAAGGGCCATTTACGGGGAAGGAAAGTGACTAAAACAGGCAGACGTGAGTTTGGTATTATTTACATTAAAAATATTTTATGTGTATGTGTGTATTGCTTGCATGTATGTAAGTGCACCCATGTGGTGCAATGTCTGCGGAGTTCAGAAGAGGGCGTTGGATCCCCTGGGACTGGGATTACAGACAGTTGTTAGCTGCCTTGTGGGTGCTGGGATCTGAACCCAGGTCTTCTGCAAGAACATTCGGTGTTCTTAACCTCTCCAGCCCCTTATTCACTTTTTTTAAACAAAGTTCAATGTAGTTTCTTCTTAGGAGGAGGAGGTGGGGAAGGGGCCACTTCAGGGGTAGGAAAGGATGACTGAGCTTCCACAACCTGGCCTGTAACAAGGCCTGACTGGTCTCTCATCTTGGTTTTCCCACCCTTGGGGAGGGTGAAAGTAACCGAGGAACTGACTAGAACTCAGTTTGAACTAAGTTTTTCCATAACTACAGAGGAAAACATCACAAGGCAGTGGCCGGGCCCCAGGGCAGCAAAAGTGTTTGTAATGACAGCAATGCCCAGTACTCGGCACCTATGTGAACAAGCCTAGAGGCTGGGCTCTGGAAGGAAGCTGGACCTGAGCACAGGGGCCAGTGGCACCAGTATCCCCAGGTACTCTGAGGGCTCAGAGACCATACTGTTGGTATGGAAAGGAAGAACTAGAGCTAGTCCCTGAGGGAAGCTGACCTCATCCTGGCAGACGGCTGCCATGGAGAGCAGCTGGGCCCCACTATGCAGGGCACCTGGCCAAAGTCACTTTAGTCCTCTTATGTGACATCCACCCCAACCAGGCCTCGTGTGAAAGCTGCCAACTCTCTCCCAGGAAGTAGAACCTTTGAACCCAAGACACTGCCCAACAGAGAACGGAGCCGGCATGGTATCTCAGGCCGTTCACCAGCAAAGGGAGCCATGGCTCACACCAAGCTGGGCAGGAAGGCACCAGAGGAGCTGGCAGCACCTGCTGGAGCCACAGGTGGGATCCGTTCAAGGACAAGCCACAGAGATGCCAGAGGACACACAGGGCCAATCTGGTGCCCTGTAGCCACAGTTGGACAGGCTGAGTGTGGAAATAAGCTACATGGCACCGAGTCCCCAAGCATAACACGAGTACCACAGGCTTGTGTGCGTGCACACAAATGACTAAGCAAGCACACATGTGGGAATAGATGCACCTGCAAGGTGATGCTTACTGCCCCCACCGTGCAGCCCTTTCTCCCTCCATCCATTTCCATGAGGGAAAACCGACTATCACCCATTTCACTCATTGCTGGGATGAAATATCTGTAAGAAGAAAGTTAAGAGGAAGGCCTTGCTTGGCGCAGGGTTCAGTAAATCACAGAGGGAGGCACAGCAGCATGACCAGGCTGGCTATGGCAGCATGGGACAGCCTGGGGCAGCTGGTTACTGGCATGGGCAGTCCAGCTGTGCAAGCTCAGCAGAGGCAGTCACCATAACCATCCAGTCTGCCTCTGGCTCTACATCTGCCAATTGACCCTACACCCAAAAGGTTCCATAACCTTCCAAAATAGTGCCACCAGCTAGGGAAGACATGTTCAAACACGTATGCCTTTAGGGGACATTCCATAAAATTCCTGACCAGCTCTCCCTGAGGCTGCCAGTCATGAACAGCAATGAGAAGGGAGGGGACTGTCAGCGACAGAGGAGACCAAGGATGCATCATTGGGTCCTTGGGGAGTGGGTGCTAAGACTGAGGGAGGACTGCAGAGCACTGGTAACATCCAGACACACCCAAATTCTGCTGACAGTGATGGCGCTGGACTGGTTCCCAGGCTGTGGCAACGACTCAGCCAGTGTAAGGGAGGGGAAGCTTTCTCAGGGGCATACAGGAAACTGGGTGCTAGTTCTGAGACTTACTAAGTGCAAAATTATCCCAAATACAAAGTCCATTAGAAACCCAAACTTAAGATTCTCAAAGACCGCAGTTACTAAAACGGTCGGTTGCTCTCCTGTTCAATGTGTATTCAAAAATCAAAGGAAAGACTGAATCCAACCTGGGAGACTGGGGGAGCCAGAAAAGAGTTCTAGACCTGTGTATAGCAGCAATTAGAAACTTAGAGGCCAGCTGGGAAGTCCTAACAGACTACAACTGAAGGGTCAAGCCAGGGCAGCACAGGGCCAGATGTGCTCAGAAGGGAGGCCCCAGCGAGCTTCCTCCAGCTCTTGGGAACAGAGGGAGCACTGGAGGACAGAGCGGTTGCAGGCTCTCCAGACCTAGGGAAACTGGCAGGCTCCAGCAGGAAAAGACCCAAGGAGGGAGAGCAACACTGGAAATCAACACACTGGAAACAAACTGCAGAACATAAAGGCAGGTGCAGAATTCTGAAAGGAGGTAGAGAAAGCAGCGCTTCTCCACAGGGGCAGAGGGCCACACAGCTTCTAATAGCATGGGGTGCGAGGACAGTGGCCTGATCTCTCTATGTGCCAAGAGGAGACACTGGCCACCAGAACGCTATGCCCAGTGAGGCTGTCATTAAGTAGAGGTGGAACAAAGCTGCCTCCCCCAAACCAGACAGGGATGTTTTCAGAGAGAAACCCTACAGCATGTTCTAGAGACCAAGAGAATGGTGCCGCAGGAGGGCAGGAAGTGAGGAATGACAGCCGGCTGTGACACGGCCCAGACCAGGATGATACAATGGAATGGAAAGTCCAGTGTAAACTCAGGTGGGTGGGAGGAAGGCATGCAGCGCCGGAAGGGCAGGAACTCGGCTGCCAGTACAGCAGGGAGCACAAGACCCCAGTTATACTAGAATTTCCAAAGAACAACAGTTTCTTATGTGTTCTTTGTGGCTACTCTAATGGGGCCACTGTGTTCCAGGCCTTGGCTCACTCGGGGTGAGGATACTGCGCTGCGGGTGCTGGTCCACTCTGAGGAAGCCCACTACAAATCTTTCAACTGGGCATCAGGAATATGGGGAGCCCAGGGATCCCTGAATCTTGACTGTTAGGAGCTGGCAGGGAAGGAGACCAGAAAGCTTTAGAACAAAACCACAGAGAACCGTGCCTAGAAAAAGTAACTGAAAGCTGCAAATGACCAGAGTCCCCACCCCCCCAAAGCCTAGAGAGTTAGGGTAAAAATAAATCCAGTTTTGTGATGTTTACCAAAGCTACTCAAGGTCTTAGGAGGAAGGCTGGAAGGGAAGGAAAAACACAAGCACGGCTGGCCCAAAGAAGGCTGGGTGGCATCTTAAATACACAGCACAGAGACTCAAGGATAGAACCATGACTGGATATAAAGGTTGTTGGGCAATGATTATCACCCAAAGGACAAGGTGGTCTTCAATGCTTATCTTTAGTAAAATGGCCTTAAGATGTGTGATGCTGAGACATGAACAAAGATCTATCATGGTGGGACGTCCCAATAGGCCTTTCTGAGCCCCCCTGAGGAACCACAATGTGATTAACAGGATCAGTAAGCTTGGCTTAGTGGACACAAATGGGGTTCCACAAACAGGAGAGGACATGTGATTCCAAACACATATGCCTTGTCTGCACAGACTCACCATGCAGTAGCCTGTCCAGCCACAGCTGTCAGCCACATCTCCTTTTTACACCATACCAGTCGGTTTAGAATTGGTAACATGAGACCATGAGCTTTCATGGTCTCATGTCTGCAAATCCAAAACATACTGACTCATGAGACAAAGAAGCAATCACAGGAGTCAGCAACCTGAGCTGGCAAGACAGCTCAGTGAGTAAAGGTACTCACTCACTGCAGGCCTGACATCCGAGTTCGAGCCCTGGAACCCATAAGGCAGAAGCGAAACAACTTCCCAAAGTTGTCCTCTACCTCTACACCTGTGTTGTGGCACATGCACACCCACACACATGCACACAAATAAATATAAAAAAAAAATTAAAAAAAGACAAGAAACCAGCTTGGAACTCAGAAACAATGAGAGGAAGAGGCCAGGGAGAAGTGTTGTGCAAGTCTGAGGACCTGACTGTATGTGCCCTCAGCCAGCAGACGGCAGTGTTCCTAACAGTGGTGTCTGGTGGGCTGGGGTGCTCTGTGAAGGTGATGCAGGGACAAAGCACAGCCCTTAGATACGAGGTTGCACCTGTACCACAGAAGAACGCACCCTGATCCCTCTGCCACCACCTGCACCACTGTCATGGTGTTGGTGCCACCACCTGACTCTCAGTACAGCTTCTTGTTGCTCTGGAGCAAGATGCATAGGAGTGCACACTCACAAGGTGAACCAAGTCATGAGTGTGTTCTAGAAGAATCCCTGGCTCCTCAGATCCTTTAGCGCTCCTTGTGGCCATATTCTCCCAAGACCTTGCTCTCCCAGGGACCCTAGGCAATATGCAATCTTGCCTGCAGCATCGCCTCTTTGCCAGTGTCCAGAACCTGCCTCCCAAATGTACCTCCCAGTGCACAGTGCAGTGACTGAGCAGACCACCCTGGGGCTTCAGAGTTCCTTCTAGAAGGGCTAGTGGGCTGCTCTTAGCAGGAACCAAGAACGGACCTGGACCAACTGCTGTGAAATCTTTCTCAAATGCATTTTCTTCCAGTTTTCTGGGAAAAATTTTCCCCCATGGCAGCTAACAAAGCTGGAGAGGGAAACTATGTGGGCCTGAGACCTCACCAGTGAGATGCTCCGTGTCTCCAAGAGAAAGGAACACAGGGTAGAGAAGGGCTCATCCTTAGCCGTGACCAGTGACTGGCTCCTATGAATAAAGACAGGCACAGCATTTGGATGCTTGGGATTTTAAGGGCAAGGCAGGTGCGGAATCAAAGCTGTGAAGACAATTGTGTTTAAGAACTTTGCTCAGTGCAGTGCATGGAGTGTTTCCTGAGTGAAGGCTGTTCTAATACAGGAAAAAGGCCAGATGACC